CTGTAGACAAACAAACAAACAATTCACAGTTAATTGATGTATATATACCCATCTACACTCAATACCTCTTATTTAACGGACTATATAGAGGAAAGTCCGTTATATCGAGGGTCCGTTAAATGTGAAACCCCCCATCTAATGAACTATATACAGGGTAGAGATGAAAATCCATTATATCGAGGGTCCGTTATATGTGAAACCTCCATCTAACGAACTACAGACAAGAAAATCCATTATATCGAGGTTCCGTTAAATACGAAACCCCCATCTAACGGATTAAATGCAGAGAAAAAATATCCCTAATATAGAGGTTTCATTGTATACTAACTTCACCCTAGACGTCCAATAACACCCCTACCCCCCCACAATCCACCTGGGCACAGTATATATACAAGAGGAAACTGGAGTAACCCGGAGATAAGCCTGGCGTTGTTTTGGTAAGGTTATACAATGGACAATAACCTTACACCCTTCTCACATTCGGCTCACACGAGAAACGAGCCCGGAACGCAATCATTGGGAGAGACAAAGGCGGGTTCAGTGTGTATAGTGGGGAAGATCGGCACCAATGTTGATACACAGTGTGAGGTAAACAAGCAATGATATAAGGCACTACAAGGTGGGTTTATTGTCTGTGGTATTTTATTTATTATTATTATTATTATTATTATTATTATTATTATTATTATTATTATTATTATTATTATTATTATTATTATTATTATTATTATTATTATTATTATTATTATTATTATTATTATTATTATTATTATTATTATTATTATTATTATTATTATTATTATTGTTATTGTTATTGTATTATTATTATTATTATTATTATTATTATTATTATTATTATTATTGTTATTATTATTGTTATTATTATTATTATTATTATTGTTGTTATTATTATTATTATTATTATTATTATTGTTATTATTATTATTATTATTATTATTATTATTATTATTATTGTTATTTATTATTATTATTGTTATTGTTATTATTATTATTATTATTATTATTATTATTATTATTATTATTGTTATTGTTATTATTATTAATTATTATTATTGTTATTATTATTATTATTGTTATTATTATTATTATTATTATTATTATTATTATTATTATTATTGTATTATTATTGGTGGTATTATTATTATTATTATTATTTATTATTATTATTGTTATTATTATTATTATTATTATTATTATTATTTATTATTATTATTATTATTATTATTATTATTATTATTATTATTATTATTATTATTATTATTGTTATTATTATTATTATTATTATTATTATTATTATTATTGTTATTATTATTATTATTGTTATTGTTATTATTATTATTATTATTATTATTATTAATATTGTTATTATTATTATCATTATTACTACAGTATCATGATCATTACACACAAAAAAATATCGAGGTACATAATAGACATGAAACAAATAAAAAAATACATTAACATGAAGTAATAATTAACAAGATATAAAAATAATAAACTGGTGAGACTAAACCAGCAGGAAGCGTGAGTGAGTGTTAGTCCGTGTTACTGATACACCACTTAGGGTAGGTGAGACGACACACACACACACACACATCTCATACACACACACACACACACACACACACACACACACACACACACACACACACATCTCATACACACACACATCTCATACACACACACACACACACACACACACACACACACACATCTCATACACACACACACACACACACATCTCATACACACATTATTTCGCCGACAGATGATGCATACATACACATACATACACACACTCACAGATGCATAAATACATATACACATATGCTCTCTTTCTTACACACTCTCTCTTTTCACACATATACTATCTCTCTCTCTCTCTCTCTCACATATAATCTCTCTCTCACACAGATACTCTCTCTCTCTCTCACATATAATCTCTCTCTCACACAGATACTCTCTCTCTCTCTTTCACACATGCTCCCTCGCACTCATACACACACTCACACATCAAGGTCGTCTTCTTTCTCGTATTTTCGTTCCCGGCAAAAACTGGGGCGAGGCTGTTGAAGGATTGCTCTTGTTTGTATGTCTGTCCGCCCGTCCATTTCTCCGTCCGTGCCTCACATAGATAGATAGATAGATAGATAGAAATGAAAAGCCTTCACTCTGGTCTTCACACCATTCAGAAGGTCTTAAAACATCCTCCCAGCAGAGAAGAATAACACACACACACACACATCTAAATACCTCCCCCTCCACACCTCCCCTCTTCCGTCCTTCCCTCCCCACACACATCTCCCCCCTCCACACATCCCCCCCACAACACATCCCCCTTCCTCCTCCTACACAGAAGCCAACTCACCACACGTCGACAAGCCATCACCCCCCGCCATAAAACCATTACACGGCCCCCTGCTTCCCTTCCTCCCTCCCCCCTTACTGCTTGCATTTCCCCACCACCACCACCATCACAACCTACACACACAGTCATGAACCAGACAGATTTAAACACACACACACACATTTTATTATTATTTACTACCACCTGCAATACTATCCCTCCCCCCCTCTCCTCCTCACATCAACAGAGAGTATATTACAAAGCCATCTCCAACGCCAATCACCACCACCACCACCACTATCGTCATCACCACCACCAACACGATCGTCATCATCACCACCACCACCACCACGATTACCACAACACCCACTCCACCACCACCACCATCTCACAACAACCCACAACCAATCACCACCCACCCCACCCCACCTGTCCACCAACACTACCACAACAACATCCGCTAACTACCCACATCACCACCACCACCTGCAGACGATTACCACCAAGACGTATTAACCCGAGGCAACACTGACGAGGGAGGGTTTGTGTACACTAGATAAGTGAGGCCCTTGGCTGATACCACTACTGCCAGCCACCACCCACCCACCCATCAGCCACTGCGGGAGGAGAGAGGTACTTTACTAAGGGCGTCACAGCATTGTTGCTCACTTCACTCCCCCGCCCAGGTATACGTGACCACCCATGAATACCTTCCCTTGTCAACCTGCGTCAGTTAGCTCTATGAATACTAACCTTTGACTATGAGTGACTTATGTTCATTCACTTAACCCTTTGAGTTTTCTGGGTCGAATCATTGTCCTGAAAGAGTTAAATCATCGTCTTCAAAGGGTTAAATCATCGTCTGCAAAGGGTTAAATCATCGTCTTCAAAGGGTTAAGTCACTTTATTACCTGAGTACAGTCCGTGACTCACCCAGTGTATTAATTAACTACAGTCTTCATGAATAGCTTTCCTTGTTAGGTTGCGTCAGCTGGCTCTATGAAATCTGTGATCCAACCCACGTCGACTCCTCTCCTGATAAACCTTTGAGGATTACCTGAAGATTAGACACCCTAACATTACCTGGGGTTAGGTTAGGTTAGGTTAGCGTTGGGTTTGACTAGATTAGTTTAGGTTAGGTTAGATTAGGTTAGGTTAGTTTGGGGTGCCTAATCTTCACGTGATCCGTCAAGAGCAAGAATGATCTATCCGCTTTGAGTGTCGCTGACGGTCACCAGGTGTTAACACACACACACACACACACACACACACACACACACACACACACACACACACACTGTTGAGAAAATGTACGAGCATCCATTGTTAGCGTTTACTTGCTGAACCACCGCGCTTGACTGATGGTTGGAAAACACACACACACACACACACACACACACACACACACACACACACACACTCACTAGAAATCATAAGTACGTTTCTATTCATTGCTGTCAGATGGTCTCCCTACAAGTATAACTCAGGCGGAAAGTATTTATGACAAGTCAACCTATTTTTCAAGGGATTCCAACACCCTTTATGTATCGTTTCCCTTTCATTTGTTTTGGTAACCTATACGTAAACTGTGACGTCATAGATTCCCCTTCATTTGTTTTGTTTTTATACGTGAACTGTGACGTCATAGATCCCCCTTCATTTGTTTTGTTTTTATATGTGAACTGTGACGTCATAGATCCCCCTTCATTTGTTTTGTTTTTATATGTGAACTGTGACGTCATAGATCCCCCTTCATTTGTTTTGTTTTTTTACGTGAACTGTGACGTCATAGATCCCCCTTCATTTGTTTTGTTAGTTTACGTGAACTGTGACGTCATCAGTCAACATCTATAGATAGTACCGACGAGGAAGAAGTCTTCGGATACTGGCTAGGTTAGATCAGGCTAGGTCAGGTCAGGTAAAGGTCAGGTCAGGTTAGGCCAGGTTAGATTAAGTTAGATAGGGTCAGGTAAGGTTAGAGTAGGTTCTAACCACCCTTGGCCCAAACATCCTCCAACACTCGGTATAAACACAAATTGAGATAACATAACGCTATCACACAGTACGGATATGACGTGACCAGCGAGCATAAGTCATTCCCTGGTTCATCAAGTAGGGACTGGATATTAAGAAGAGAGGGGCTGGATATCAGGAGAGGGGCTGGATATCAAGTAGGGACTGGATATTAAGAAGAGAGGGGCTGGATATCAAGGAGAGAGGGGCTGGATATCAAGGAGGGACTGGATATTAAGGAGAGAGGGGCTGGATATCAGGAGGACTGGATATCAAGGAGAGAGGGGTTGGATATCAAGGAGGGACTGGATATCAAGGAGAGGGTTGGATATCAAGAAGGGGCTGGATATCAAGGAGGGACTGGATATTAGGGAGAGAGGGCTGGCATCGACTGCAGGAGGGGGATGGGAGGGGTGGTCATCTACTTCCATGCTTAACACCTCTAATTTGCATACCAGGTGAACCAATTATTATATACCATACTGACCACTACTGCTACTACTACTACCACCGCCTCTATCCTTCCAAACCCACCACGGTCTAATACCCTCAGATCCCAGTCTCCCAACACCCTCCCACAACCCCCAACACCCTCCCACAACCCCCAACACCCTCCCAC